TTTATGCACCAGTCAAACATTGTATAGGAATGTACTATTCAATGTTAGAATAGAAAGCATCTTTGAATTCATGGATCATTTTTTTTGAGATCTATTCATTGTATCAGAGAGATGCATCTTTGACATCTCCTTCAACCCTTGCTCGTTTGGGTCGTTTGGGGTTAACGGCCATCCTTCATTGCTGAGGCAACGGGGGGGAGCGTTCATGTGCCCGTCAGCCGTGTCTTAGGGCATCAGAACACGAGACAGATTCGATGGAGGGTACCCTAGTGTTGTTCTTTTCAAGGGAAACCAAAAAAGGCTAACCATGCTGCTGGGCTGCCCTCAGAACCCCTGCTAAAAGTTTAACTTTTAGTGGGTTAAATGGAAACTCCACTAAACACTAAAAGTGTTCAAAGCTAAGATGATGGCTGGGCGCCACCAAGGCTGATATAGCTCGCTTACACACCAGCAAATTCATCTTTTGATTCCTCCAGTTCATCTGCTCGCCCGGCGCTCACCTTCAAGACATTTTTCTTGAAAGTGCACCAAGCTGCTCAGAGGGTACCGTGATGCTTTCAACACGGGCCCGTCCGAGCAAATGTGGTGGAAACAGTTTGGCTCTAGCCATCGTACTCACCCTCCTCTTCATCAAACTCACCTTCCTCCTCCGCCGTGGCATCCTGGTACTGCTGGTACTCAGAGACCAGGTCGTTCATGTTGGACTCGGCCTCTGTGAATTCCATCTCATCCATGCCCTCGCCGGTGTACCAGTGCAGGAATGCCTTGCGGCGGAACATAGCGGTGAAGTACTCCGCAACCCTCTTGAACATCTCCTGGATGGCGGTGGAATTCCCGGCAAAGGAGACCGCCATCTTCAAGCCCTTCGGCGGGATGTCGCAGACGGATGCCTTGATGTTGTTCGGGATCCACTCCACAAAGTAGGACGAGTTCCTTTGCTGCGACATGCAAGCGCTCCATGTCGCTGTACACATGCTTCTGTTGAACATATTCTATGACCAATCTGTGAAGCAAACCGCAACTACCATCTGATCACTGCTCGCCAAGACGCTTGTTCTGCACGTTAAGCATCTGCTCATCTACTTCCTTTGTGGACATGCGTCCCCGGAACAGCGCCGCGGCCGTCAAGTAGCGCCCGTGACGAGGATCTGCCGCGCACATCATGTTCTTGGCATCAAACATCTGCTGAGTCAGCTCAGGCACCGTCAGAGCACGGTACTGCTGCGACCCGCGGGAGGTCAGCGGTGCGAAGCCGGTCATGAAGAAGTGCAACCGCGGGAACGGCACCAAGTTCACTGCAATCTTGCGCAAGTCGCAGTTCAGCTGTCCGGGGAAGCGCAAGCAACAAGTCACCCCGGACATGGCTGCTGAGACCAAGTGGTTGAGGTCGCCGTAAGTTGGCGTTGTCAGCTTCAGCGTGCGGAAGCAAATGTCGTACAAGGCCTTCCAGCATGAAATGGGCCACAAACATCCAAAAACAAACAAACATCAAAAACGTCGACTGAAAGTAGTTTTCAACGACAACCGTGAACCGGGAACGCGGCCATGGCAGGAAGCAAAACAAAAAAACGACAACAACAAGGACGACGACAACAACAATAACGACAAACACCACCACCGCGAACAACAACCATAGCAACAACAGCAACAACAGCAACAGCAGCAGCAGCAGCAGCACCACCACCAACAACAACAACCAACAACAACCAACAACAACCAACAACAACCAACAACAATCATCAACAACCAACAACAACCAACAACAACCAACACCAACCAACAACAACCAACAACCTCAAACAACAACAACAAACAACAACAAACAACAACAAACAACAACAAACAACAACAAACAACAACAAACAACAACAAACAACAACAAACAACAACAAACAACAACAACCAACAACAACCAACTACAACCAACAACAACCAACAACAAACATTACCACACAACACCAGACAACGACACACAACAACAACAAACAACAACAACAACCAACAACAACCAACAACAAACATTACCACACAACACCACACAACAACACACAACAGCAAACAACAACATACAACAACAAACAACAACAAGAACAACAACAAGAACAACAACAAGAACAACAACAAGAACAACAACAAGAACAACAACAAACAACAACAAACAACAACAAACAACAACAAACAACAACAAACAACAACAAACAACAACAAACAACAACAAACAACAACAACAACAACAACAACAACAACAACAACAACAACAACAACAACAACAACAACAACAACAACAACAACAACAACAACAACAACAACAACAAA